CTTTGTCTACCACCACAATTTCAGGTTGGTTCGCCATTACTATTTGGTTGGTCTGTATCTGGAAGTCCCACAGGATAATAATTATAATAATTTATCGGTTTTATATAGCGCTTTTTTGGACACTCAAAGACGCTTTACATGTCATTATTCTTTCACTCCATACACAGTGGTGATAATCTACTACAGTAGCCACAGCTGCCCTGGGGCACACTGACAAGCGAGGCAACCAGTATGTGCCATCGGCCCCTTCGATCACCACCAGTCATTCACACACACACCAGACTCATTCTAGGCAATGGGGGTAAAGTGTCTTGCCTAAGGACACAACGGCAGTTTGGCACTTTACAGCCGCAGCCGCCCCACAGGATCTTCGCACGCTCATTCTCCACCACCTTTGGGGGAGTTTCCCACTTAGACCTTGGAGTTTCCAGCCCATACTCTGCACAGATGTTTCTGTACACAATGTCAGCCACTTGGTTATGGCGTTCCATGTAGGCATCTTGCACCCTGCAGTTATGTGTTGGATTGTCTCAGGTGCCTCTTTGCACAACCGACACCTTGGGTCTTGTCTGGTGTGGTATATCTGGGCCTCTATGGCTCTGGTGCTCAGGGCCTGGTCCTGTACAGCCATGATGAGTGCTTCTGTGCTGTCCTGTAGGCCAGCCCTTTCTAGCCATTGGTAGGACTTCTTGAGATCAGCCACTTCTGTTATGCTCCGGTGGTACATGCCGTGTAGGGGCTTGTTCTCCCATGATGGGCTCTCCTCCAGACATTCACTGAGTACGTCATCCGTTTTGGCCTTTTCCATGACGTAGTTATGACGGAGTTTGGATGTTTCTCACACTCACTAGTCCTCGGCCTCCTTCTTTACGGCTTACGTACAGTTTCAGGGTTCTGGATTTGGGATGGAACCCATCATACATGGTGAGGAGCTTTCGAGTTTTACATCCGTGGTCTGAATCTCTTCCTTTGGCCACCCTATTATTCCTGCAGGGTATCTGATCACTGGCAGGGCGTAGCTGTTAATTGCCCGGACCTTGTTCTTGCCATTAAGCCGATATATATGTATATATGTATATATATATGTATATATGTATATATATATATGTATATATGTATATATATATATGTATATATGTATATATGTATATATATATGTATATATGTATATATATATATATATATAATGTATTTATTTTTCCACCATTGTCATTTGTGGAAAAATAAACATAGGGAAAAGAATAAGAATAATAATTCTATATTATATATATTGTGTATATAATATAGAATTCTTCTTCTTATTTTTTTTTCATTTGTTTATTTTTCCACAAACTACGCTGGTTGCGCAGCTTCCTACTCCAGCTCGACATTTGGGAGGTCTCGCGTCTAACAGAGATTTTATCAAATCATTACTCAGCATCATTTGTTGCGATGGCCCAAAATCTGCCTTTAGGCCTTCAGAATGTTATAGCCCAGAGTTTATTTATAGCCCAGAGTTTATCTCATTTTATTTTATTATAAATTTATTGTCTATTATCTTAAATAATAGACTTTGATGTGTGCAATCTGAGTGCTTTTATTTCCTTTCTCTGCTGTAATGTGCGCAACGATGACACTGAAATTTCTCCACTGTGAGACTAATAAAAGGTTTATCTTATCTTATCTTATCTTAGAATCTACAGTACTGGCCCACGGTAGCTTAAGTCTATGAAAACGAGCCTGTGGCATTAACCAATCAGTATTGAGTTTCCTGCCTCGGGGCCAGCTAGCAGGCCTGTGTCTAGCAGACCCAGCACGTCTTTTGATTGGATACACAATATAGAGCAAAGGAAGGTTTCTCACCCATCATCTGTACTTCTTAGCAGGTTTTTCCGACGTTTCGTCCTCAATCCAAAGGACTTCTTCAGGGAATTAATTCTCAGACCGCGCATTGGAGATTTATATATATTTATAAATATATATAAATCATATTTATGGGTGTGGTTAGCCACACCCTAATCCTGATACTAACTCATAAACAATCTAAGGTCTGTTTGATGTTGAAGGGAGCAGCTCTAAAGCCTAGCGTACATCGGACTGGCAACTGATTATATCCGTCGCCTCTGAGTTGCTGCCCCGCACACATCGACAATCTGACGAAAACGGGCAACTCCCAGTATCAGGCCAGTCTCTTGAATAACAGCGCGTACATCGACAGCAACTGGCCTCAACTACAGTGTGTTTTCTGACATAAACTGTTGCGGGCTCGCAATACACGCAATACACACACGTTGTCGGAGCGGCGCATGGAGCGCGCACATCGGAGCAACTGAGGACAACTAGTTGCCGAAAAGTAGAACACGGGCAACTGACTGGAACTGGAGACCGACTGATCATCTCCAGTTGTAAGAGCGCGCACATCGACCGATTTCGGCAACTGATCATCTCCCACCATCTCCTCTCAGTTGCCAAAAGCCGCCTTGCAACTAGTTGTCCCCAGTTTCTCTGTCGATGTACGCTAGGCTTAAGGACCCTGCTGAGGCTAACAAATGTTAAGATTTGCCTCGTCATAGATGCGAGGCAAAACAAATCTTAAGATTTCTTTTGCCTCGCATCTATGACGACATCCTAAAAACAACGCCCTAACTTGGGACAAGGTCGGTGACATGCTAATGAGTTAGGAGGGGTGAGACCTGCACTCCACTTGAGCAATCCCAGCAGACAATAGGTCTGTGACATGCTAAGGAGTTAGGGTCCTTAGACCTGCTCCCTTCTACATCAAACAGACCTTAGATTGTTTATGCGTTAGTATCAGGATTAGGGTGTGGCTAACCACACCCATAGGTTATAAATCTCCAACGCGCGGTCTGAGAATTAATTCCCTGAAGAAGTCCTTTGGATTGAGGACGAAACGTCGGGAAAACCTGCTAAGAAGTACAGATGATGGGTGAGAAACCTTCCTTTGCTTTGACAAATCCCTGTACGACTGAGGACTTACAAAAACATACACAATATAGAGAGACGTCAATGCCAACACGTTAATGTGATAAACAGAAACAAGCAAAAATTCTAATATATAAACCACAACAACTTGTTTTAGTTTTCAACCCTCTTCGGCTGAAGGAGGTGAATACTGTATATCGTTCTGGTAGAAAGTTAGAACGCCTTTCTCAAGAAAAACCAGGAGAGCCTAGATTTTGTTGCGACCAGAGCATACACCGCTGCGGGAGAGCTGTGGGAGTGCAAGGGTGTCCCAATATTTAGGGAGAAGAGGCGAGGGCCTTCACACCCCTAAAAACCACCCTTGAGCGCAAGTGAGGTCCGGAGCTCACTTGCGAGCGAGGGTGATCCCATGATGCATTACGATAGCTGTTGGTATAGCAGCAGTCGGGCAAAGCCGTGCCACAATGAAAGAAAACATGAAACACCCGCGCACAAGTTTGTGCGGAACATGAGCAAGCTCCAAAGCTTGTGCGAGTTAGTTTTTAAAGCGTGTGTTGGTGCCGTGTGCGGTTACGTTCGCTCCCAAAGCAGCTGCAGCGAGTGGCGTGAGGCTTCAGAGACATGGTGCATGTTATTATTATAGATCCATAATGTAGTTCAGAGCATCGCTTTGACACAGTTTGCTTTGTGAACCGCGGGACCGCGGCTGTACCCGTCTGTCTCTGTGTGGTACATATCTGTGCGCGTACGTGTATGTGCCTGTCTCTGTGTGTTTGTACATGTGTCTGTCTGTGTGCGTGTGTCTGCCTCTGTTTGTGTACGTGTGTCTGTGTGTGCATGTGTGTCTGGCTCTGTGTGTACATATGCGTGTCTGTGTGTGTGTGTGTGCGTCTGTCTCTGAGTGCGTGATGTGCATCAGTTCTGTACCCTTCACATGGAATAGAATTAAAAGCGTCTAATTTTAGTAAATACTGTGTTTCATAAAGTCATATCTGTGTCAGATCTTATCTGTGGTGAAATCACACACTTCGATAATGTGTGTGACCTGGAACACGTCTGCTGTGTCATTTGCATATTGTCCCCTAGATTCAGGGGTGTCCCAATTCTTAGGGAGAATGTTGTGAGTGCACTCCCCACTGGGAAGGCACTTTGCTGGTGAGGGCACTCACACCTAAGGGCAAGGGTGAGAATTGGGACGGGGCCTAAAAGCCGATGGGAAAAACAGTATGTCAATAAGCCAACCTGCGGAGCTAGGCTAATGCAGAAGACACAGAGCCGCGTCTTGCCTCACCACCAGTAGGAAAACAGAACATTAAAACTCACACGTAATACTTCCTGAACGCTCGTGTTGCACATTCGGTCATGTTCTCAGAGTACTGTCAGAGAAGAAAGTTACGCATTGCGCACGAGTGCATCAGGCGTGTGTATAGACTACAGCGATGTGCCTCCTCTCGTATTAAAGTCGGATTTTGAGGGGATTTTAATGTCCCTTGTCATACCAAACTTTTTTTGTTAATTCAATCGGTTTTCTATACATCCACACTTTAGTGCAACAAACTCTGCTCATTTGCCTTCCGCTCTGATCAGCAGCGCCTGATTGGTCAGAATGCTGCCATGCCCCACTATGCACTGCATAAGAGCCACACATGCATAATCGTTAGTATATGCCACAACGCTTCATGGGAGCTGGTCCAATGCAGAGGACCAGAGAAATGCCCAAATATGGGCGAGTTCAGCTAATCTTTCGCTGCCCATGGTGGCCCCATGCGCCACTGTGCAGAAGCCATTGATTTGAGTAGGTTCACTATATGGATCACTTGGTCTGGGTGATTATATACGCGCTACTGGCAATGGAATGCGGAAGCATAAAACCCACCAGTTACAAATGACTTTGTCTGTAAAAGGCTAAAAATTTATGGTAAAAATTAGAAGAACAACCACTTCTAAAGAATAGAAAATCTTACATAGCTTGAAAACTAACTAATAATTGCATGTCATTTGAACTCGTATGATATTGTTTTCTACTGTGTCATAAGTGGAAGACAAGGGCCAGACCAGGGCTCGCATCAGAATCCAGGATGAATGGCAGTGCACAGCAGTCGGAGCCCTTCGATTACTCCTACTATGAGTATCCAGACTGGTACTCCAACAATGCGGAGCCCACCAAACCCCCCAAGGAGTGAGTTCGATGTCCTACTGTTACTTTTAAATCAGTCTGTGTGTGGAATAGATATGTTACAACCAATTAAGGAAGGACCAGACCTCAGGCAAGCCATAATGAAAATTATGAACCAGAGAAAATGGGGCAAAGTAGGGTTAGACTGTTCTGTTCTTCTGGCTTCTATTTTTCAGCCCCTCTTCTGTTTCCGGTTAGCTCTTCTGTGTTTGCATCAGTAATATTGTTCTTCATTGGCCTCAGCCTCAGACCACTATCGCCCCCAGGCCAAAACAGCTGGGGGCGACAGTAGCTCAGTTGGTCTTCAGGCCTGACGGTCGTTGGTTTGATTCCCCCACGAGATCTACTCCACCTACTCCCCCTGATGTCTGCTGTCATTGTGTCCTTGGACAAGAAACTTAACCCCACTTTGCCTGAAGCCTCCACTGAGAAACCAAGGCTATGTCATTGCAGCAGTCCTCCTAACCTCCGGTGACGGTGCTCTCTGAATTCAGGGGCAGCTCTGATTACTACCCCCCAACACAGAAATGGATTAAAGGTAGAAAAAATTGATGGATGGCCCTAAACAACAGCACTCACTTTGTTGAATGCATGTAATTTATGCATTGAAAGTCATTGACCATTAAAATGAGAGAGCACCTCTAGAACCACAGAAGTCTGCAGCTACTGACAGGGCTATTAAGTTGAGTTGGGGCTCTTAATAACCATTGCATCGCAGGCTGTAGATACGGTTGCTTTCCTCTGGTACTAATTTATTCATCCCTATGGACCAATGTCTCACATGTATTTTTTATCATTAAATGTCATTAAGTCCCTGATTCATGTATGCTGTTTCTTCAGGGTGATTCTTCCATGTGATCCAGCGGCTGATGATCAGATCTTCCACATTGTGATCTTCTCAATCTCTGTGAGTCTTAGTCCATCATAGTTATGTTATTATTATGCATCTCACCCACTCGTTGCTGTGTGTCTAGATGGTGGTGCTTTTGTTGCTGGCAGCTCTCAGCAGAAAGAACAAACTGTGTCAGGGCTTCACCCGCGGAACCTCATCAATCTTCAGGTCTGTACATGGACAGCATGCGGTGCAGAGGTCCTTCCTCAAGTTCTCATGGAGGAAACGATGGAGCATGAGATTGACAGATGGTCGATGCAGCGCCTGCAGTGATAAGGCTGCTGTAGTAGACTGTTGTGGGGAAGGGGAGCAGTATCTGAAGTCAGAGCTATGGATTTACTGCTCTGTCTACATTCCAACGCTTACATGGCGCCAGAAGAGGCGCTGCTGCTCCACAACGGAAAGAACCATCTGAGTAGAGAAACCCTGGAGGGACACTAGTGGGGTTGTAGATTGTTTTGACCTTCAAATAATCAATTTACTTTTTTACCCCTTGACACCATTCTTAAAGGTCTCTTAATATAAATGCCCAGAATAATGTTGTCATTTATTCCCTCAAGCTTCAGTAGGACAAGCTTTAGAGGGCAATCTTTCTCTTTCATTCTTCAGAAGGAGCTAAACGCCTCGGTTCAATTTGTTTCCGGATTGAGGACTCTATGTGGCCAATCGCCATTATTGGAAAAAATATTATTCTCAGGTCTATACTAGCAAACGTGGAACCCCCACGCTTTGTTTTTACCATAGACTGTAAATAGTCAGCAAGCAGCTCAGGAGTAGGCGGGCTCAAAGGCAGAGAACCTTGTTGAGCGTGTTTTACTTACATTATTATCGCACATATGCCATGACTGGACTGTGAAATAATAATATTAATAATAATGCATCAGTTTTATACAGCGCTTTTTGGACACTCAAAAACGCTTTAAAAGTCATTATTAAATCACTCCATACACAGTGGTGAGTAAAACTGTAGCCATAGATGTCCTGGGGCACACTGACAGAAGCGAGGCAACCAGTCCGTGCAATTGGCCCCTCGGACCACCACCAACCATTCACACAGACTCCAGACTCATTCTAGGCAATGTGGGTGAAGTGTCTTGTGGGTGAAGTGACATGACAGTTTGGCACTTTACAGCCGCAACCATCCCAGTATGGCACCTTGTGTTCCCAGAGGAGCAAAATATGGGACCTTTAAATGCTGTGTCATGTGACCTAAGCTGCTGCTCTTGTTGTTTCAGCCTGGTGAACTTTCTGGACCAGACTCAGGAGAAGTCCCTGGTCCTGGCCGTGTTTGGTCTTGTTTTCAGTAAACTGGCCATGATTCTGATCGCTCCGGATCCTCTACCCTTCTACAAAGACACGCCCCCCCACTTCAAAGGTTTAATAACATGCCACCCCCACACCCAAAAACAGGATGTTAATAAGCAATTTGTTACATGTCCTGGAGTATCTACTGTTATTAGAGATTATGAGAGTTCTGGAGTGAGGCTTTAGCAATGTCAGGGGAGGAAAGTAACGCACCTGCAATCATGGAAAGAAATAAGAATAAAATGGAAAATAATAATTGATTATACAAATAATAATACTAACGGATATAATTTTAGTTTTTCTTTATAACTCAAAATTGCTGAATCTTTTTTTCTATTTTTCCATGTATGTCTCAGCTCACAGTGCTGGTAATGCTGTGCAGTCCAATCGTACTGTTTATCTTTGTTGTAATATGAAAACAGTACAATCAAACATGTCCATAATTTAGCAGGTGCATCATATATTGTGATGTGTCTTTTCCAAGCCCAACAGTAAGGCCCACAGTGACTTGGCCAGACCTTCCGGGTGATCTTGATTAAGTTAGGGAGAAGGGACCCACAGAGGTGTGCAGCAAAAAACTCTGGTCATTCCAGACTGGGGTTTTGGTGCCATTGTTTTGACTAGGTGATTCTGAAGTTGATGTTTGAATCCTGCTCCCAAAACTTTCTTCTCTTTGTAAGGATGGGGCAAATATGTGGCCTCACTTCTGTCACAACTCACAGCCGAGTGCGGAATGAATTACTTCAGTATAGCGCCTTGAGTGACAAAGTATAAATACAAAGCAATATTAATGTTTTTTGTCATGTGGCTTCCTATGATGCCATCCAAATGCATCACAGGAAGCCATCAACATCCTGGCTTCCAGAGTCTTTTTGACCAGCTCTGGACACTACTTTTCTATGCAATGTTTCCCCTCTGGACATTCGCATAATCCTTTCCAGTCCTATAAGTAAGAGTAGTTCGTACATTGGATGTACTCCCAGCCCTCTTTGTCCCACAGAGTTCCTAAAGATTGTGTCCATCTTCTATTACCCTCTGCTGTACGGTCCCCTGCTGGTGAGTTCCACGCTGCAGCTGCGCACTGGATACCTCCTTGGAGCTCTGCTGTCCTTCAGCCACGGAGCTGTGCTGCTCTGGCAGAAGATTGACTGCCCAAAGACACCAGAGGTAATGAGCCAGTGATAGCAATATCCCAAGCAATAGTAGCATACGTGGGTTGAATGTTAACAAAGTGGTGAAGTCAACAGTGTCAAGTGTTGCTGATTCTAGTTATCACTCACTCTCACTTGTCAGGTCCATAAAATCACATGTGGTGTGCCCCAGGGTTCCATTTTAGGTCCAGTCCTTTTTAACCTGTACATGCTCCCTCTTGGCGGTGTCGTCAGGAGACATGGAATTAACTTCCACAGTTATGCAGATGATACTCAGCTGTACATCTCCATGTCTCCTGATGACACCAGGCCAATGGATGCTCTTTTTAACTGCATTTTAGACCTGAAATCCTGGATGGCAGAAAACTTTCTCCAGCTTAACCAGGACAAAACTGAGGTTTTAGTCATCGGTCCTGAGGCCCAGAGAGAGAAACTTTTATCAAAACTCCAATCACACTCTTTTAATCCATCATCACAAGTGAAAAATCTGGGCGTAATCTTTGACTCTGAGCTGACTTTTATTCCTCACATCAAGAGTATCACAAAAATAGGTTTTTATCATCTAAAGAACATCGCCAGAGTCCGCCCCATTCTCTCTCGGGGCAACACGGAGACGCTGATGCATGCTTTTATCACCAGTCGCATTGACTATTGTAATGCCCTGCTCTCTGGTCTTCCCAAAAAGAACATTGCAAGTCTCCAATTACTCCAAAACTCGGCCGCACGTGTCCTGACTAAGACCAGGGGGCGGGACCACATTACACCGGTTTTAAAATCGCTGCATTGGCTCCCCGTGTGTTTCAGAATCGATTTTAAGGTTCTTTTAATGGTTTTTAAATGTCTTAATGGTCTTGGGCCTTCTTATCTTTCAGATTTGCTTTTATCCTATGAACCTTCCCGGCCCCTGCGCTCCTCCGGCAGCAGACTCCTAACCATCCCCAAAGTCAGGACACACACTCATGGCGAGGCATCTTTCCAGCACTACGGCCCCCGTCTCTGGAACAGTCTGCCGGAGGAGCTCAGGGCCGCAGAGAACGTTCATATTTTTAAAAGTAGGCTCAAGACGCACCTTTTTAGAGTAGCTTTTGATTAGTTTTTATTATTCCATTCTATTTATCTTTTATTATTTATTATTTATTATATTGCTATTGCTATTATTCATGTATTGTGTGTTCCTTTTAGTCTCACATTTTAGTGTTTTACTTATTGTATTGTTTTTAGTGTACCCAGTGTTTCCTCTGGAGGAGCCCTCTGCACCGGGAGCAGTGGTCGGTGTGGCTGCGGGGGTCGGACTCTTGGGCCTGGTGGGGGCCTGGGGCCTCGGTTTCATGTCTCCTCTGGGTCCTGTGTCGTCCCCTGTGGCTACGGGAGGCTCTCTGCTCCTGGTGCAGACGGCTCCTTGGATGACGCTTTTTCAGCTGGTTGCATCTGAACCCTGCCAAGTCTCTCATCATGTTTTTATTGTTTTACTGGTGTGTGTGTGTGTGTGTGTGTGTGTGTGTGTGTGTGTGTGTGTGTGTGTGTGTGTGTGTGTATGAGTGTTCATGAGCGCGTGTGTGTGTGTTTGTCTGTGGTTTGGGGGGGGTCTGTTGGGTGGTCTGGGGGAGGGGTCTTGGGCCGGCGGGATTGTTTTTAACCAATCTGTAAAGCACTTTGTGTTGCATCTTATGTATGAAAAGCGCTTTATAAATAAAATTTGATTGATTGATTGATGTGTATCCTTATATTTGCAACCGAATAGCCAAAGTAAATATTCAGAAAGATCATGTTTAATTGCCACAATAGTCTTTATATATTTATATTTATATATTTATAATCTTGTTGTGTGTAGTTGTATAAGCTCTACGCTCTACTGGCCTCATTGCCTCAGCTACTTTGCCTCCTCTTCATCTGTGTCCGCTTCGTTCTGCTCTTCATCAAAGGACCAGAGCACGACCAGGTCAGAGCTGCTTACCCCCATAACCATCACATCTGCAAAAGCACGTAATCAATGCCATAATAAAATTCAATGAATAAATGTGTTTCAGGACCTTGACAGCAGCTACTACAGCGGATATGTCAAAGAGCTGCTGAAGAAGAAGGCGTCTGGAAGGTTTGCATGATATTCATAATGTTTTTATTATAGATTTTTTAGATTTGATATTGTTGATAATGTTAATGTTGATAATGGGGAGCGACAGTGGCTCAGTTGGTAGAGCATTGGTCTTTGAGCCTAAAGGTTATGGGTTTTGAGCCCACCACAACACCTTTCTCCACCGACTCTCACTGATGTCTACTGTCGTTGTGTCCTTGGGTGTTGAAACTGGTTCAAACTATACAGTTCCTGGACAAAACCAAATCTGACAGAGGATAGATTTTTACGCAAGTTTTGCCATTGTGAGACTACTGCTCTTTGTTCCAAGAGGACAGAGTTTTGCTGACAGACCAAAACTCATTCGCATTATGTGCACATCAAAGATTCCATATGGCCGAAACCATTAGTTTGTTTTACATAGTTCAAACATTTTAGCCTAAAAAGGTTTCCAGTCTCATCACACGCTGACAACCCAAAAATTGCACTTAGCAAATTACACTTTCCACCACAACCCAAACATTGCATTTACAGACTAAGCATATCTTCTACCGTGACAACACAGTTAGCTTAAAGACAATGCATTGAATATTCATTAAAATAATATAATTTATATAAATAATTCTAATGTCATTGGGCAAGACACTTAACCCCACTATGCCTGAAGCCCCCGCTGAAAAAGACAGATAGAGCAGCCATTCTCCTGTGGACTCACCACTTGCAGGAGGATCAGTGAGGGGCTGGTGCTCTGTGAGTTGGATGGAGCTCTGACTGCCACCCCCCTGACCCAGAAATTAATCGAAGGGAAGAAGATGGATGGATAATGTCCTAATATATTCCAGTCACTTCACACTTGATCAAACGTCCCACTGCAGGTTGGAGGTCCTGATTTTATGAAGCCACTACATAATTCCTTAGGCCCCTATCTTAGCTTGTGCGAGTGTGTGGCATGAGGGGTGTGAGTATGTGTGTGTTAAGTATTTGTAGTATTATCATTTTTACTTTAATTTGTTGTATTATTATTATTATTACTGTATTATTTTGTTATTGTTGTTGTTATAATTATTTTGTTTTTGTTTTATTTTTACTTGACTGTATCTACTCTGCTATCCTATGTTCTTTGGATATGATCATGAGGACCCCCCACGAAAACGAGATGATACATCTCATGGGGTTTATCCTCCAATAAAATGTCCATAAATAAATAAATAAATCTGTGGTCCCAAACCCCTCTGGCCCCGAGCTGGAGTGCGCTCCCCTCTCTGCCAAAATAAAAATATGCGCGAGTGCTGACAGACCTATTTCTCTCCTCCACGGCCATATAACCACCGCTGTGTGTAGAGTGAATGAATAATGCTGTGAAGCATTATCAACTGCACACATTTCAATGATAATCAGCTCCAACAATGATAGTGGATTTTTGGAAACACAAGCAAACACAGTTACTGCCATTATTATAATACTGTACATTCAATCAGGTACATTACCTTTGTGTAAAACCAGATGGATATATACTTTATGATTGCCATATGAGAAATTTTGATGTCCGGCACTAGGAACATCCACCAAAACATCAATAAGTACACCTTCTATATACAGGATATATATCCTTCTTATACAGTGCACGTTTAGCTCGGAGATTTTTTTTGTACAGTCTTATAGCCGAAAGAACAAAGGATCTAATGACATACTTCTCCCTCTCACCAAGAGGTCTTCTGTAATGCTGAGGTCTTCACAAAAGAAATCCATAAAAGACTGAAGTTAAGCGCTGAAAAAGGGCAGACTTGGGGGACTGACAGACATGGACTGGGAACAGAATATTGTCATTGTCCTAGTATTTTTCTTTTCACTTAAAAATAAATCAAAAAAATTCTGTCAACATTAAATAACAAAGATTAAAAAAACACAGTTTTAGTGTATAATCCTTGATCATTTGCGCAGCTCGATGGTGTGTGACAAACCCAGCCTGATGCAGAGAATTCAAGACGTCCCCAAAAGTTACATCTATGTCCCAGAGAAAGGTTTGGGCATGAAGCTTCTGATCTTTTTCAAACTTGTTTGATTATCTGATCTGTATTGGCAAATCTACAACATTGTGTCCTCCGAAAAGACTACTGTTGTGATTTAGGGCGATACAAAAATACATTTATTTGAAATTGAATTGAAACCTTTCACTGAGAGAGAGCAGATTTCTAAAACAGACCTGGAGTTGATTATAGCTCCATCCACACTGATAACAGAAACTTCTGCCACACACATGCCACTCTTTCTTAAAATAAAAGTATTCCCTCCAAATTGGTTTAGGCAATATCTCCTGTGAAATCCTATTCTTTACAAGGTTTGCATGTATAATGCAATGATGTATGACAGAAAATGCATGCATGTAAATTTACACTTCTTCCACCAGGTGGAGGACCAAACCAAGCAGCATTTTAAAAATCCAACAGCTTTAGCCCAGCAGCATTAGTCTAGCAGCATTAGCCTAGCAGACACCACAGGAATCAGCAAACAACAACAGCAAGATGTTCGATAAATGGACGGATGATGAGGTGAAGGCAATTGCCTACTAATTATACTTAGCCAAGGAAACTACTAGGGGAGCAAATAGGACAAGTAACTCTACTAGGTCTTCTAGGTTTGAGGGAAGGCAAACCCACTCACACCTTTTCATAAAGTTGTAGCACCTGTTCATAAAAAATTTATTGAAATGTGAGTAAAAGTATTTTTCTTACAGTTTTCCGGCTTCCTCTGAAGTTGGCCATCGGGGCCTTCGTCTCTTTCATCTGCATTTATCACGTAAGTATTAGTCCTGTTCTAAGGCTTTTAAAAGCTTAGGACGAGCCTTAGAGAAGGCACTGCCCCCCACATGTTAAGTCTTGAAGGTCACATATTTTGCTCTTCTTCATTTTTCACAATCCATCCTAAGCACATGAGATAATAATTTGGGTGATACACCAAACAACACCTAACACCATTTCTTTCATAGAGGTGATGTCGAACTGATCTCTGCACCTCTGCCTGTGAGCCTGCCTTCCCCCACCCATGTGCGTAGCCTCATGCTAACTATGAAGTAAAATCAGCGTTAAAGCTAACTGTTCAGCTTTCGCCAGTACATACTCATTTAAGACCTGAGAATAAACTTTTTCCGACAATGGCAATCCGTCACATAGAGCTTGATGTCCTCAATCCAGAACCAGACCCTAATTATTTTGCTGCCTCTCTAGAATGAAAGAGAAAGATTGCTCACTAACTAAAGCTTGAGGAAATCAATGAAAAAACGACTCTGGGTATGTGTATTAAACCAGAGAAAAGTCAAAAAGCGTACTATGGGACCTTTAAGCAATCCGATCACAGTAGAAAGTGCAGCCAGTATGTAGTGAATAGCGACTGTTTCCTCTGTCTCTGTCAAGCGCCATCATCCAGCACTCTCTGAAAGTTTCCGCACAGGAGACGAAGTCTTATCCATCAGTGCCACTGTGCAGATCTCTCTAAACAGGATAAAGGAATCAGAAGAATATCATAGTTTAAGTAGATTCAGTTTGTGTCACTCCAAGGCAACTTCAGAGACAAGGCAACTTCTAATGCAGTTGTTCACTGAGAATTTTTCCCTTGGAGCGGAAGGAACAGTGCAGGTCTGTTCCTACATGCCAACAGCAACATTTAATATTTCTCAGTGCCTGGGACGAAATAACTAGATATTAGTAGGTCCCTTATTGCCCCACTTTGTTCCCTGCTGTGATCCCTGATGAGGTTCATGGCTGAAGTCCAGTGCTAAGGTCCAGGGCTTTGTGTGCAGACGGCCTTGTTGCTAATTGTGCTGGTTGTTCCCACGCTGCACATCATCCGCGCTGGGATTGATGAGAACATGTTCTACCTTATGATGGGCTTCGGGATTGTTCTGTCTGAGGATCGTCAAGAGACTGTCCAGATCCTCATTTTCTACACCTGGCTCCTGGAAGGTACGACCTGCCTGCACATGTCAAACCGATGTTCATGACAGGGTTAACTATTACTACTACTTCATGATGTTAGTTGCAAATGTCTTTGACTCTCTGTCAAAGACATTTGGCGGAAGAAGCCAATTAGGTAAAAAAACAAGCTCTATTCAAAGATAATCTGGAGCCCCATAGCATGTTAGTGGGTTCCAGAAAATACATTTGAACTTAATTACAATTGGAAATTGACCCGAATAACCCATTGTCGTGGTCAATCTCCCCTTGAGAACTAATCCATCTACTCCCACTGATGTCTGTTGTGTCCCTGGGAAATTGGATTGCAATGGATTAGATAGTCAAGATATTTTAAACAATTTACCGTTCGTTCTTTGAGGTGAGTGTTAAAATTCCGAGATTGAGTGATTGAAAGGTGCGTAAAACGTTGTGCATCCCCACTCTTCGTGTATATACAGAGGGGCAAAAAAGTATTTAGTCAACCACCAATTGCACAAGTTCTCCTTTCCCTCTTAAAGAGATGAGGGAGGTCTGTAATTGTCATCATAGGTAACCCTCAACTATGAGTGACAGAATGAGAAAAAAAATCCAGAAAATTACATTGTTTTTTTTAAGAAGTTATTTACAAATAATGGTAGAAAAAAAGGACAGAGCTCAAACGTTTTCTGTAAGTCTTCACAAGGTTTTGCTCACTGTTGATGGTTTTTTGGCCCATTACTCCATACAGATCTCCTCTAGAGCAGTAATGTTTTGGGGCTGTCGCTGGGCAACATGGAATTTCAACTCCCTCTAAAGATTTTCTTTGGAGTTCAGATCTAGAGACTGGCTAGGCCACTCCAGGACCTTGAAATGCTTCTTACGAAGCCACTCATCGTTGCCCTTTTTTTTGGGATCATTGTCATGCTGAAAGACCCAGTGTCAATACCCTTTCTGGATAGAAGGAGGTTTTCATTTAAAATCTCACGATACATGGCCCCATTCATTCTTTTCTTTACACGGAACAGTCGTCCCGGTCCCTTTGCAGAAAAACATCCCCAAAGCATGATGTTTCCACCTCCATGCTTCACAGTAGGTATGGTGTTCTTTTGGATGCAACTCTTCTCCAAACAGAAATAGATGATTTTTTACCAAAAAGTTCTATTTTGGTTTCATCTGACCATATGACATTCTCCCAATCCTCTTCTAGATCATTCAAATGCTCTCAAGCCAACTTCAGACGGGCCTGAACATCTACTGCCTTAAGCAAGGGACACGTCTGGCACTGCAGGATTTGAGTCCCTGGTGACATAATGTGTTACTGATGGTAGCCTTTGTTACTTTGGTCCCAGCTCTCTGCAGGTCATTCACTAGGTCCCCCTGTGTCCCAGATCGAGGGAGATTTTCAGTGGTCTTGTATGTCTTCCATTTTCTTTCTATTTCTTTGGTCTTGGACATAGTGGAGTTTGGAGTGTGACTGTTTGAGGATGTGGACAGGTGTCTTTCATACTGAACGAATTAAGGTTAATATAGGTAACAGGTGGCGGACCGAGGAGCCTCTTAAAGGAGGAGTTCCAGGTCTGTGAGAGGCACAAATCTTGCTTGTTTGTGGGTGATCAAATACTATTTTCCACCATAATTTGCAAATAAATTCTTAAAAAATGGGATAATGTGATTTTATGGATATTTTTCTCAATCTGTCTCTCATATTGAGGTTTACCTATGATAGAAATTAGAGGCCTCCCTAATCTTTTTAAGTGGGAGAACATGCGCATTTGGTATTTTGGTGGCTAACTAGATACTTTTTTCCCCCCACTGTTTTTGACAAGTGTCTTCCTCACATACAAACCGGACTCTTGGGGGTCTCATATCTTTTTGGATGCTTTAAGGATCAAAATAGAGTTTACCAATTTGGAAAAGATGTATAAATATTTTATACAAAATTTATAGGACTTGCTTGAAGATTTGTATGACAGTCTAACAACATACAAATTTCAAAAAAATTAAAAGATTAAATATTCAAAATTATACATGGAAAACCGTGTTTAAACATTTTATAAAAAGAATGTAAGAACTGTTTGAACATCATAGAGGATGCTTTGACAGTCAAATTCAACACACAGTTCATAGTAATATTTTATAAGTTCAATTGTAAATGGAAAAGCATGTCAAAAAAATTTAGAAGAAATTGTGTAATATTTCTTTGCATTTTAACACTAACACTTGAGGCCTTTATTCTTTATAACAATGGAAACTAAAGTATGTGATGTGATGGGAAAATGTATTGAATACTCAGTGCTGTTCTCAATTACACAAATTGCGTTACTGTCCTGATGTAAAAGACAGGAAACTGTCCGTCAGGAAGTCAGTGATCCACCTGCAGGTGGAATCGGGCATGTTGAGCTGGGAGAGCTTGTCCTGGAGCAGGGATGCCAGGATTGTGTTGAAGGCAGAGCTGAAGTCCACGAACAGGACCCTGGCTTAGGTCCCCGGGGAGTCCAGGTGCTGTAGGATGTGGTGGAGGGCCAGGTTAATGGCGTCGTCTACAGATCTGTTGGCTCTGTAGGCGAACTGCAGGGGGTCCAGGAGGAGGGAGGTGAAGGACTTGAGATGGGAGAGAACCAGGCGTTCAAATGACTTCATGACGACAGACGTAAGTGCTACAGGTCTGTAGTCGTTGAGTCCTGTGATCCTGGGCTTCTTCGGGACGGGGACAATGATGGAGGATTTGAAGCAGGCCGGGACATGGCAGGACTGCAGAGAGGTGTTGAAAATGTCAGTGAACACAGGAGTAAGCCCCCTGGCGCAGTATCTCAGAGTGGCCGGAGACACGTGGTCCGGGCCAGGAGCTTTGCGGGGGTGCAGCCTCAAGAAGAGTTGTTTAATCTCTTTAGAGGCTATTGTTAGGCTGGGGGCAGAGCTGATGGGTGGGTCGTTAGAGTAGTGGGGGGTGGGGGAGGGAGAGGTGTCAGGGGCAGGATCAAAGCGACTGAAAAATATGTTCAGTTCATAAGCTAGCTTGTGGTCGTCAGCACAGGGGGGGGGCTTTGGGTTTGTAGTTGGTGATCTCCCGTAGGCCCCTCCAGACAGAAGCAGTATCGTTGTTACCAAACTGCTCCTGTAGTCGTTCTCTGTGCAGGGACTTTCAGTTCTTTCCTGAACTGATATTTAGCTGCTTTGTAGCCGCTGCGGTCCCCCTCCCTGAAAGCAGACTCCTTTGCTTTCCTGAGCTGCCGGAGTTTAGCAGTGAACCAGGGTTTGTCATTGTTATAGATGACCCTGGTCCTTGTTGGAATGATGCTATCCTCACAGAAGTGAATGTATGACGTCACAGTGTCCGTGTATTCATCCAAACTATCTGTGGCAGCTCTGAAAAGGTCCCAGTCTGTAGATTCCATGCATGCGCGCAGCTCTTCCACAGCTTCATCAGACCACACTTTGGAGCTCCTCACTGCAGGTTTCGAGAGCTTTAGTCTCTGTCTGTAAGCAGGAACCAGATGTATCATGGAGTGATCTGAGAAGCCGAGGGCTGGCTTGGGAACAGCGCGAAAAGCTCCGCGCACGGTAGTGTAGCAGTGATCCAGAGTGTTCTCCTCTCTGGTCGGGCATTTGATAAACTGTCTGTATTTGGGTAATTCCTGGCTCAAGTTCCCCTTATTAAAATCCCCCAGGATAATAATCAGAGAGTCCGGGTATAAAGATATTTTATACCCGGATATTTTAGATATTTTACGAGCAGCACCAATGAACTTCACTGCAAGGCAGGGTTTAACCTCCTGCAGTTTCCACACAGTAGTGCTTTCTTCAAGACCATGGGTTCCCAAAGTTTTTAGCCCACAACCCCCAACTACCTCCGCAGTCTTCGCACCATCAGCCTGACCTCACATGTGACTTTTTTCCCCCTCACCTCTGGCACATGTGGCTTTTCTCCCCCTCCGGGTTTTTCTGTTGTGGATATTAACCACGTTTCATTTTAAAGAAGGTATTATTTGTTTGTAGCCTCCAAACACCTTTAGCTTTAGTAAACAACAGCAGGACACGCTTTGTCGCGTAACTTGATTTTGATTGACACTGTCAATGACTGGGACAAAATTACAAACATAATGTGGAATATATTATATTCTCCAAACACAATTTAACAAGTAGTCCTTTTGAATCAAATCAAATGCAAAAAATCTAAAGACTATATATTTGTTCCAATTTTTTTTTTCTTCGGAAATCATCTTGCGACCCCCCAGGGGTTCCCGCAACCCCCCGGGGGGTCGGGACCACTACTTTGGGAACCACTGTTCTAGACCATTGTTGCCTCCGCTTCAGGTCCTCTTGGCCCCTCCGGTGGTGCAGGGGCCGCGGCAGAGTTACCGTTATCTTCAATGTTACTGCTACTCCAGCCCAGGACAGCCTCACAGCGCAGAGTGTCGCACACAGCCTGTACGCCCCGCAATTCCCGTGTGCATGGTCAGCGTCCCTCTCTCACTGGCTCACACTGTGGGTTCCCCGAGGCTTCTCTCCTGCCTCTGGGACCATGTCTCCGTTTGTCTGTGTTCATAAATGTGCACGGGTCCTCCAACCGCGCTCCCCTGAAGCCATCCGCTCTATTATTTCCCGGTCCGCTCCTTAACATAAGCTTGTTCCGATGCATGTCCTCCACTTGTGCAGACCTCACCAGTCCTCATGGGCCGCCCCAGTTCCTCTTCCATGTCCCAGTTCTTGCGTGGGTGGGAGGGCGGAAATACCAATTCATTTTGGGGCCACCAAACCGAAAACCCTAAAATTGAATGTTGCAAACCAGATAAATGAAATCCGAGGCCTTTCTCCCCAAACCAAGTTTTAGGTCAGAAAAATGAAACAATTTTTAGAAAAGGGGTTTTTCAATCTCTTTTTTCAACAATGGAAATAAGAGATTTCCACTGTCGCCCCGCCAGTTAAGGGGCGACAGTAGCTCAGTTGGTAGAGCATTGGCCTTTGGGCCTGAAGGTCGTGGGTTCAAGCCCACCATAAGACCTACTTCACGACTCCCACTGATGACTGCT